ACGGTACTCTACCAAGGGTGACAAAGTGATACTCTGTCTCAAAAATAAAAAAAAGAAAAGAAAGAGAATAAACTTTTAGCTACTTTATAGATCTCAAGGTTCTAGGATCTACAGCCTTAGACTAGGTTCCAACTTCTTTTCCTATTCTAAATCTGTAATCTCATCAGCAGTGCAGGCAATAAGAGCTCTTTCTCTTCCTCATCTCTTATAGGAATAAGTGAATGTTTATATTAATATCCACCGTATATGGGTTTTTGGAAATAAATGCATCCTTGATTTATTCAGTACATTTTTCCCTTACAGATATTACTACCAAAGGGGAATTCTTGCAAAGGTTGAAGGACAGAGGCTTGTATATCAGTTCAAGGATATGCCCAAAAACATAGTTGTCATAGATGATGACAAAAGTGAAACCTGTAATGAAGATTTAGCAGCAGCTGCTGATGAAAAATCATTAGAACGAGTGTCACTGTCTGCAGAAAGTCTCCTAAAAGCAGCAACTTCTGTTCGTAGTGGAAAAAACTCATCTCCTGTAAACTGCTCCAGAGCAGAGAAGAGTGTAGCTAGAGTTGTGAATATCACTTCCCCTGGTCATGATGCTTCATCCAGGTCTCCTACTACCACCGCATCTGCGTCAGCAACGGCAGCTCCAAGGTAAGCGAGGCAACCCACTGGTTGTAATGTATTTTTTTTTTTTTTAAAGGCTCCTTGGTGAAAATGAAATGTTTGCTCTACAAGTCCACTGTTGTCAGGGCTTTATTATTGTTAAAGTAGATGTCTCAATTACCCTGAATTGGTTTTTGTGGTTGTATAGATGGACCTTAATGTGGGCTTTGGTTTTTTAATATATTTGCCTCATGGTATTTTATATTCTAAACTTCAGGGATTGCCAGCATATCTGTAAAATTTGGAAACACTGATTTTATACAGTATGGATATGCATTCATCTTTTGCTCAAGGGACCCATTGCTAATTTAGTATTAAATATAATCAACTTTTTTCTTTCTAATTTACTAGGACAGTTCGTGTGGCAATGCAAGTACCTGTTGTAATGACATCATTGGGTCAGAAAATTTCAACTGTGGCAGTTCAGTCAGTTAATGCAGGTGCACCATTAATAACCAGCACTAGTCCAACAACAGCGACCTCTCCAAAGGTAGTCATTCAGACAATCCCTACTGTGATGCCAGCCTCTACTGAAAATGGAGACAAAATCACCATGCAGCCTGCCAAAATTATTACCATCCCTGCTACACAACTTGCACAGTGTCAACTGCAGACAAAGTCAAATCTGACTGGATCAGGAAGCATTAACATTGTTGGAACCCCATTGGCTGTGAGAGCACTAACCCCTGTTTCAATAGCCCATGGTACACCTGTAATGAGACTATCAGTACCTACTCAACAGGCATCTGGCCAGACTCCTCCTCGAGTTATCAGTGCAGTCATAAAAGGGCCAGAGGTTAAATCAGAAGCAGTAGCAAAAAAGCAAGAACATGATGTGAAAACTTTACAGCTGGTAGAAGAAAAACCAGCAGATGGAAATAAGACAGTGACCCATGTAGTGGTTGTCAGTGCACCTTCAGCTATTGCCCTTCCTGTAACTATGAAAACAGAAGGACTAGTGACATGTGAGAAATAAAATAGCAGCTCCACCGTGGACTTCAGACTGTTAGTGGTAGTACTGACATAAATAATTGCAAGGGAAGTCATCAAGTTGAGTCAAAGAAGACTTTAAAACATTTTTAATGAATATAAGAAAACAATCAAACTTACTGGAATAAATTACCTATCCCATGTTTCAGTGGGAAATGAACTACATACTGAGATGCTGACAGAAAACTGCCTCTTACAGTAGGAAACAACTGAACCCATCAATAAGGAAAAGGATTGAAAGGGACCAAGCAGTTCACTACAATATCACGTTACACACTAACTTTCTGTAAGACTTGGAACACTAACATTCTGTAAGAGGTTTTATAGTTTTCAGCGGGGGAGGGGTTGGGATGGGTGATCTCGTTGTTACATATAGCAATTTTTGATGCATTTTGTATGCATACCAGCAATTACTGTGTTCCGCACAGTACTCACTTAACTGGTGCTATGTGAAGACTCTGCTAATATAGGTATTTTAGAATGTGAATTGAAGAATGGATCCAAAAGCTTCAGAAAGAGGATAGCAAAAAAGATCTAGTGTGACTTTTTTTTATATATATATCATATAGCTTAAGCAGATTTAAAACAAAGGCCTTAGACTAATTTTCAGTTTTCTTTCTTGAAATAAGCTAATGGCTTGTTTGTGTAAAGCTTTTTTATTAAAAGAAAAATTTTAAAAATCTTGTACCTAGCACAGTATTGTTATAGAATTTACATGTAACATTTTATATGGTAGTTTAAGTCTGTCAGTTTCTTAATTGTGGACATATTAACAGTTGGCTCTGGCCTTTTGCTGTAACATGCCTGTGTCACTCACTTAGCCCTGGCATCTGTGCAGACATAT